ACATGATAATACGAGATCAAGAAGTAGTAATAGGGAAGAGTGAGACATCAAATCCTCTGAGTAGCAAAAATCATACATTTATCACCATAAACTAGCCACCCACTCACCCAACCAACCCCAGTCAACATTCCACTAATTCTTATCCAAGAATAGGCATTTCCAAACCCATATTCAGAGTTCCACCAGATAAAAATGGAGGAGAAAGGAGAGAACTACCCTACGGAGAAGCACATACTGCACCAGAACAGAGTATTGGTGTGTCTATCCCCAGGGAAAGAAATGTTTCACCTTATCACCTGAAAATGGTGGAACGAGGAAGTAAAGTTGAGGCTTCAACCATGGAGGCAGGTGGATACAAACCAGGATATGCACTACCCCTCAATGACACCACTAAAGTTGATGGAAGATAATTTCAAAGCCATAAGAGGCTACTTGGCAATAGATAGCCAAGTACCTCTACCCCAACAAGCTATACCATCTATGCATTTGTTAACCTGGAATTTCATAGGAGAAGGGAACAAAACGTTTTAAAGGAATATGAGGGAATTAGTTCAGATCTATAAACCACAATTGGTTGTCCTTATGGAAACTAAAGTTGATTTCAAGACTATGGGATTTTTCTTCAATGGTATGGGCTTTACAGCATCAGCCCATGTAGATCCAATAGGTCGAAGTGGGGGTATTTGGATGCTTTGGAACCCAGACATAGTTAATGTTAGAGTGGTGGAAGCCAGCCTCCAGCAAATCACTGCAATAATCTCTAGGCAGGACTACCCAAACTGGCTACTCTCAACTGTGTATGTAAGTCTAAACAACAATCTGAGAGACAATTTATGGGATCAATTGGAGGAAGTTGCTCAAAATATGACTGAACCTTGGTTAGTTGACGGTGACTTTAATGACTTCACCACACGTAATGAAAAACAAAGCCTACAAGGAAACCAGAACCAGAAACTAAGTCAAGACCAGAGGAGGGGTAGAAAATTCAATGAAAGGGTTGATAATTGCAAACTTATGGATTTGGGGTGTACGGGTCCAAGACTGACTTGGTTTAACAATAAAAAAGGTTGGGCAAATACTATGGCAAGGTTGGATAGATATTTGTGTACCAGTTGTTAGTTCAATCGGGTCCATCCCAAAATCGAGCAATACTACGAGGCCTGCTGCTACCGGAGATTCAATAAGACAAGGGAGAGTCTTTGCACTTGTCCCAGGTGACACACGAAATACTGAAGCGGTTGTCTCAGGAACTATCTCTATGTGTAATTAAGATGCTTTTATGTTAATTGATTCCGGCTCAACGCATTCCTTTGTGTCTACTATGTTTACATCTAGATTGACTAAGCCCGTAGAATCATTGCCATATTTGTTGTGTGTATCTACTCTATCTGGGGAATCTGTATTGTGTGCATCTGTGTATCGTGTCTATGATATGTGAATTGGTAATGCTATCTTGTATGTGGATTTGTTACCCCTAGACATTCGGCACTTCGATATAATTTTGGGTATAGATTGGTTGTCTAAATATTATGCCACTATCAACTATGTGGCAAAGTGGGTTGTGTTTAAACCGCCAGGGCATGTTGAATTTGAATTTGTGGGTAATGGGGTGATGCCTCCACGTTATCTAATCTCAGCAATGAAAGCATGTAAACTGCTTAGGAAGGGGTGTCAAGGTTATCTATGTAGTATCTTAATTGAACAATCTGTGAATGTTGAAATGGGTAATATTTCTGTTGTTAGAGAATTTTCGGATGTATTTCCTAATGAACTACCAGAGAGATTGGTTGACAAAGAAATAGAGTTTACCATTGATGTTGTCCCAGGCACCTAACCTATCTCAAAAATCCCCTTATAGAATGTGTACTGTTCAAATGAAAGAACTAAAGGAACAACTACAAGACTTACTTGATAAAGGGTTTATCCGACCAAGTACTTCGTTGTGGGGTGCACCAGTGTTATTTGTAAAGAAGAAAAATGGGACTTTACGCATATGCATTGACTACCGGGAACTGAACAAGGTAACGATCAAAAACAAATATCCATTGCCCCGAATTGATGATTTATTTGATCATTTCCAGGGTTCGCAAGTCTTTTCCAAAATTGATTTGAGATCCGGATACCACCAGTTGAAGGTAAAAGCAGAAGATGTTGAGAAAACTACATTTAGAACGAGGTATGGTCAATACAAATTTCTCGTTATGCCATTTGGAGTGACTAATGCACCTGCAGCATTTATGGACCTTATGAATTGTATTTTCAAAACTTATCTTGATGAATTTGTTGTGGTTTTTATTGATGATATTCTGATATATTTAACTAATAGACTTGAACACGAACAACATCCGAGAACCGTCTTGCAAACACTTAGAGAAAATAGATTATTTGCTAATCTAAAGAAATGTGAATTTTGGTTGGATGAGGTTGTTTTCTTAGGGCATGTCATCAACAGAGATGGGATTTCAGTCCACCCACAGAAGATAGCGGCAATTGTGAACTGGCATACATCAACTAATGTGACAGAAATCCGCAGTTTCATGGGCTTAGCTGGGTACTACCCGCGATTTGTGAAAGATTTTTCAAAAATAGCGGTGCCTCTTACGCAACTTACACGTAAAGGACAACCATTTGAATGGAATGATGAAAGAGAATCTGCCTTCCAAGAACTGAAAACGAGATTGACTACTACACCAGTGTTAACATTACCCTTACGTACGGAAAACTTTGTGATTTATAGTGATGCATCTTATAAGGGTCTGGGTTGTATGTTAATGCAGGAAGGACGGGTAATTGCCTATGGCTCCCAACAATTGAGGCCACATGAAAAGAACTATCCAACACATGACCTGGAATTGGCCGCGGTTGTATTTGCTTTGAAAATTTGGCGGCATTACCTGTATGGGGCAAAATGCGAAGTATACATGGATCACAAAAGTTTGAAGTACTTCTTTACTTAGAAAGAATTGAACATGCAGTAGAGAAGATGGCTTGAACTAATAAAAGATTATGACCTTCAAATTTAGTATCATCGTGGGAAAGCCAATATAGGTGCTGACATCTTGAGGAGAAAAATGACAGGGAGTTTAGCTTGCCTGCTTACTGAATAGAAGGAAATTTTGCATGATTTTGAGAAGTCCGAGATTGGAGTAGTGTTACATGAGTAGAGCGAATTGATAGCCGCTATTTAAGCAGAACCAACAATCATCGATGAGTCAAAAAGAAGATGAATTCCTCAAGAAGATAGTTGATGAATTTGAGGCAAATCCAAAATCAGGATATAGTGTTGTAAATGAAGTGTTAAAATTCCAAGACAGATTGTGTGTTCCGAATATCCTTGAGTTAAAGAGGAGAATTCTCAATGAAGCCCATAAGTCAATGTTTGCTATGCATCCGGGTAACAACAAGATGCATCAGGACTTAAAACAGGGTTATTGGTGGCCAAACATGAAACGTGAGATTGCAGAATATGTTTCTAAATGTCTTCAGTGTTAGCAAGTTAAGGTTGAACACCGACAGGTCTACTTCAACCTCTCCTTATTCCGGAATGGAAGTGGGAACATACAACCATGGACTTTTGTGGTGGCCGAATATATTTATTACATAGGGAAGCCGAATATCTTAAAGAAAGAAATCAAGTTATGTACTATACAACTCTATCCCAGCGGGACGAAGGCCGAATAACCAGATTAGCCGAAGAATCAACTGTAAACCGGGCCAAGTACGAACAGGTAGCCGAATGAGCGATCATTCGTTGGACAATTGGAGCCATCTGTGGGGATACTCCAGCACACCCATGGCGGGCGTAATGGAAGATCCTCCAGTAGACATTGACGACCTTACGCCACGAGATGATACCACTCCAAGCAACATGCTTGGGCCAGAGAACATTGCCGCACGAAGGGCCTTGAACTTTGACTTAGTTGCCCAGACCTCACCCTCGACTTCAGCGCGTGAGACAATGCAAGCGATTATGGATTAGGCAAAGAAAAACGAACAGAGGTTAGAAAACCTGATGGTTGAGAACGAGCTCCTTTGACAGGATTTGGCCTTGGAGGTGGCAAAATCCCAACAAGCCACGCGCCAAGATCCGGGACGACCTTTGAGAAAAGATGGTCGACCACCTCAAGTTCGGAGACATGATAGTGGCAGTGATTCTGACTCATCATCCCCAGAATCCAAAAAGAAGGGATGAGTCGAAGTCTCCAGTTCTTCCGAAGGCAGTCCGCGTGCACGGAATAAGCGAAGAAGAAATGATTCAGACGAAGAGGATCAACATGACCCCTTTGTGCGACAGATCTCAAGGGCAGTGCTACCCAAAAAGTTCAAAGCTCCATCGTTCACCCTATACGATGGAAAATTGGGCCCCACCGATCACATCCGTCATTATAAGCAAGCCATGATGCTTCATGTAGACGATGAGGCCCTCACGTGTCGAATATTTTCGAGCAATTTGGGACCATTGGTAGTCAGATGGTATTATAAATTGGAACCGGCATCGATTAAGTGCTTCCATTAACTCCAAAAATCCTTTAGGGCAATGTTCATCACCAATGAGGTCCAGCCGAAGCAGGCCGATTCTCTCTAGGCAATGCAATTCCAACCAGGGGAAACCCTACGTACGTATTCAGCGCACTATTGGGAATGCTTTAATCTAGTAGATGATGCCTGCAATGACTCCATGGCCATCATCGCCTTTAAAATGGGATTGCATCCTGATAGTGCCCTCCGTAGCTCCATGATCATAAGGCCCCCCAAAACAGTCTGGTCGTTAATGAAGAAAGTCGAGGAATATTGAAAAGTGGAAGATGACGCCCCGTGGGTCAAGGCCGGGCACAAGGCTAACAAGACGGCCCCGTCTGAAATCGTTCAGCCAATAAATTATGTACCATCACGGAGCCCTGAACCACGAAATCGGGCTAAACGAGACAAAAGACGAGATTCACGCCGATCAAATGACCGATGTTCCCACCGAGCTAATGAACAACTTCAAGTGGATAGCAGGCGCATAAGGCGCGCGGACAAGAAATATACGGAGTTATCGGAGCCGATCAGCGCAGCTATGTCTAAAGTTCAACACCTTCCGCTCTTTAAATGGCCGCCCAAGATGGTGGGACCTCCCGACACGAGGAGACGGGATAGGCGGTGCGAATATCACAAAGACCACGGTCATGATACCGACAGTTGTTATGCATTGAAGGATCACCTTGAGGAGTTGGTACAAGATGGTCGGCTTAAGCAACACGTCCGAAAGAACGACTCAACCAAAACAGTTGCTTTACGGCAGGATTCACCTCCACTTGGCGTAATCCATATGATATATAGCTTGCCAACGGCATCTGCGGTACATACAATTCAGTTGTATCTTAACCCCCAAAAGCAAATCACACCAACGAAACAGCCCCATGAAGCTGCGAGTATTACTTTCGATGATTCCGATTTGGTCGGCATAACGCTCCCCCACATTGATCCCTTAGTCATTGAACTACGCGTAAACCGATTCACCGTTGAACGTGTTCTCATTGACCAGGGAAGTACTTCAGAAGTAATGTACTACAAGACCTTCGTTAAACTCGGCTTCATTGAGTCAGACCTGTCTCCAGCTCATTATTCGTTATTCAGCTTCAACGTTAATCCGGAATATCCTTTGGGCAAAATCACACTATCAGTTCGGGCGGGCTCCCGATCAGTGGATGTAGAATTTTTGGTTATCAAGCTTCCTTCGCCGTATAATCTCATCATGGGACGAACTTGGCTGCATACCATGCAGGCCGTGCCAAGCACCTATCATTAACTACTTCGCTTTCCGACCGAACGTGTCATAGAGAAAATTTGAGGTTCTCAGAAATCGGCGCAGGCATGTTATCTTCTTGCTGCAAAGACTCTAAGAGAGCTAGAAGTGAATTCAATTAAGGTGCCGAATCAAGAGAGCCACGACGACGTTGGGCGGCTCCCAAGTGAAAAGGCAACCAAAGCCCTGGATCGGGTTGAAATTGAAGAGAATCCTAACAAGTTCTTCATGGTCGGCCCTTCCCTGAATAAAGTCGACAGACAGGAGCTAATTTCCTTCTTACTCAACTTGATGTATTTACATGGTCACCATATGAGATGCCGGGGGTGGATCCATCTGTGTCTCAGCACTGCTTAAACGTTGATCCCAAATGTAAGCCGATTATTCAAAAAAGCCGGCGGTTAGCCGCGGAACACACTGCAGTCGTTGTTGAAGAAGTTGACCAGTTACTTGATGCCGGGGCAATCCGCGAAGTGACCTATCCTACATGGCTCTTGGCCGGTTACTTGTTGAAGAAGTGACCTATCACCTGCTAGCCAAGGAGTTAAATTCTATCACTAGTCCTTGGCTATTTGCTCAATGGGGCCTTGATATCATTGGGTCGTTACCACGAGCCCCAGGCAATAGGCGATTCCTAATTGTTGTGACGGATTATTTCACAAAATAGGTCGAAGCGGAGGCACTAACACATATTCGAGATTCCGACGTAAAGTGTTTTGTATGGAAAAACATCATAACAAGATTCGGCGTACCACGAGCACTTGTTTCTGACAACGGTACCCAGTTTGATTGTGGCGTGTATCGGGAATTATGCGACACTTATGGTATCCGGCCCTACTTTTCCTCACCAGCTTACCCCCAAAGCAATGGTCAAGCGGAGGCCACCAACAAGGTTATTTTGGACGGCATCAAGAAGAGGCTGGAGAAAGCTAAAGGCAGATGGGTCGAAAAGTTGCCCAGTGTGTTATGGGCTCATCGCACTACTCTGAGGCGATCCACTGGGGAAACGCCATTTGCTTTATACTTTGGAACCCAGGCAATCATCC